CCCTCAGGGCCGCGAGAATCGCGGCGCGCGAAGGGGCGCCGAGCGCGGAACTTTTTGTGCAAGGCCTGCTGCCCTCGCCTGTGCATGCGTTCCCTAGCGTCGAGATGCCCGAGGCTGACCACGTTCGCTTCGTGGGGTGTCTGCCAGGATGGCTTTTGAAGGCGAGGTCTTGGTCGACGGCTCCGCCTTCTTCACTCGGCGCGGCGGCTGGTGCCTTGCAGGGTGGTCGGTGGTTAGCTGCAGCGACGACGGCGCGTTCCGCTGCGGAATGTACTGCGCGGCGCCGCTCGCATGGTCGCTCTCCCACGGGTGCGGGGGACTACGCGTTCCACGTGGTGTCTAGGTTCAGCCTGTCCAGTCTGTCCAGCCCGTTTCGGCGCTTCTGGGAGTTGTGGCGAAAGCACGGCGAGAGCGCGACGGCGAACACAGGTGAAGGCGCGCACTTCGGCAGAGAGCGATCGTTCGTTTTTCGACACCTGGTGTCGGCGTGGCAACGATGGGCCAAAACAGGGGCCATGTTGCGGCGGGCGCCGTCTGAGCATATTCTTTTGCGGAAGCGTGCGAGGGCGCAGCTGGCAAACCCGTGCGCTGGGCAGGGTGCATTCACGCCTGGATCGCTGGCCGTGAAGCGTGGGAAACTGAAAGGGGTGGTTGGCACAGGTGACATTGTTTTGGACCCCGATGATTTCGGCGAGCGCACAGGTGAGGGCGCGGTCCTCGATCCTCCAGGCGCACGAAACGCAGGGGTGGAGGCTGCCTGCGCCCGTCCCATCCCCGCGCGAGCCCGAACCCGAGCCTAACATCGAGGGGGATGGGGTGGAGCTCGGGGTTGTTCCTGGTCGGCCGTGGCTGTTTCAAGGGCGTGCTGTGGTGAATTGTGATGTGGACGGCCCAGAAGCTGGCCAATGTTTGTTCTTCTGTAAGGCTTGTGCGGCCTCTGTGGGACTCAGAGTGGCCCCTAGAAGGGGCCTCGCGGGAGTGCGTTACGGGCCCAAGCACCCTGGGTTCAAGACCCAAAGGTCAGGCTCCGTAGGTTCCTCCACCCTCTGGCTCCGAATCCTCCTCCAAATCTGCGTACGTTTCGAGGCCTAGAGAAAGTGGATGTCAAATGGGTTCAGGGGAAGCTGGTGTGGGCCGACGGTGCTGCGTCGGGGGCCGGGGTTGGGTTTTCGCCGCCTGGTGTTGGGTCCTCGGATGGGCCTGCTTGCGGGCCTCCTTGGGCGTCCGCGGGGACGGGTTCCCGCGCCCCCGCCAGCCTCCACCGGCACAAGGCGAAGGTCCACGCATTGGACCTGGCCCAAGCTGCCCGCTTGCACGGGTTTGAGTCGCCTCATTCTGCGGTTGAGCGGGCGAAAGAGTGCAGCGAGCTAAGCGGGACAACAGGTCCGAGTCGGAGTGGTGGCCCCTGGAGGAGGCCCAACTCACCTTAGGCCGCTGCGGCGGCAGGCGGACTTCGGCCCGCCCAGCCTCATTCCCATTCCTTCCTCCTACTCCTTCCTCCCTCCTCACCTCCCTCCGCAGCTCCGCACTCCTCCCTCCTGGACGCCACTCGCGCAGTTTTTTGTTGGCCGCCCCGGCGCCCCCACCCGCGCGCGTGTCCGTGGGCTGCGCCCAGCCGCGAGGCGCGTGTTGTCGCCGCCGCCGCTGTCGGCTGCTCGCCGGAGTGACCGTTCGCCGGAGTGGCCTCATGGTGCGGGACCGTTGGTGCCTCGGAGGAGGAGGAGGAGGAGGAGGAGGAGGAGGAGGAGGAGGAGGAGGGAGGAGGAGGAGGAGGAGGAGGAGGAGGAGGAGGAGGAGGAGGAGGGAGGAGGAGGAGGAGGAGGAGGAGAGAAGGAGTTGAGTGCGGTGCGACGGCAGAGGCCTGCACGCTCGGGCTCGGCCCCCCCCCGCGTCTCCCCGAAGGCCGCGCAGCAAAAAAGTCACTCTTGCCCCACGATCACTCCTCCTCCTCCTTCTCCTCCTCCTCCTCCTCACTCCCCCTCCCTCCTCCTCCTCCTCCTCCTCCTCCTCCTCCTCCTCCTCCTCCTCCTCCTCCTCCGAAACCGACGCTGTCATTGCCGCTGTTGTCGTCGTGGTCGTGGTCGTAGTCGTGGTCGTCGCCAGTTTCGTCGTCGTCGACGTCGCGGTCGTAGTCGTGGTCGTGGTCGGTGTCTGGGTAATGGTCGTGGTCGTGATCGTGGTGTTCGTCGAATTCGGCGCGGTCATGGCTGTGAACCTCGTCGTCTTCGTCGTACCTGCTGCCGTCCTCGGCCTCCTCCTCCTCGCCCTCCGCGTCCTGCCGCTCCCTTCGTCCCCCCCGCGACGGCTCTTCTGCGCTCGAGCGCGCTCGCTGCGCGTTCGCTGGGCGTCCAGACTCTCTGTGCGCGGTGTGGATCAGAGGTGCCCATACCGCTACCATCTCCTCGCTTTCCTCTTGTTGGGCCTCCTGGGAGGCCCCCCGTGGCTACGCTGGGTCGCCCCGAGAGCCTGGTCGGAACGCGCCCCGGGAAATGTCTGGGGAGTAGCCGTATCGGTACCCTTCGGTTTCCCCAGTGGAGGACATGGGCAGCATGCCTGACTTGACGCATATCCGTACTATCCCCCTCCCCCCTTTGATCAGAGAGACAGGAAGAGAGAGAGAGAGAGAGAGCATCGATTATGATCTCCTTCCCCCTGCTGCTCTTGCCCCTCCCTCCCTTGTGATCCTCGTCCTCCCTCGCCCACCTTCTTGCTCCTCTTGCTGCTGCTGCTGCTCCTCCCCCTCCCTGCCCTCTTGACGCTGGTTCCTCCTGCTGCTGCTGCTGCTGCTACTACTTATTCCGCTGCGCCGTATCCTTTCCTCCACCTCCTGTTCCTCCCCTTCCTCTCCTCCTCTTGTTGCAACCTGGGAGAGCAGCCTCGACTGCGAGACTCGCAATCTCGGCTGCTACCGATGCGCGGGCCACCATCGACTGAGACGCCGCGACCCTCGCCCACTCCAGCTCATCCAGGCGAAGTTGTTGTGCTCCTCTCACCGCAAGTCTAACAGCTGCCCTGGAAACCTAGGAGCTGTCAGTGGTTAGTACTGGGCATCCGTCGGGAAGTCGAACTCATCAAAGGCGAGGTCGGGATAGGCCTGCCGAGCTCGACCTGCGCACAACACTGGAATTGGCAGAGCTCGTGGAGTCGAGCCATTCGCCTCGACGTGACGTAGAGCCAACTTGCCCTCTCGCCCGTCCTGCCGCGAAGCTGGATGCTACCATCATCTTACGTGATCAGGCTGATCACCGCTTGCGCCAGTCCTCGGCAGGCTGGCGACGCGGTGCGTGTGCCTGGTCCTCTCGCGGAGGTCGTCGCCCTCCAGCCGGGGAGGGACGCTGCCGGTGCGGCCGTGCCCAGGAGCGTGCGCAGCTCATCTTTGGACTCACCACCCACCAAACCACCCCAACCCGACCCGAAGGCCTCAGTTTGCCCTCCATTTCCAGTGGGGGTGGGTGGGGGGACATTGACCCCCCCCCCCAACCCGAAATTCGGGCGAATTTCGGATCTTCGGGTTGGGTTGGGGTGGTTTGGTAGTTCGTCAGGACAAGAGATGGATGGTGGCTTGGGCCAGCGGAGTTGCTGCGGGACCTGCAGAAGCTCCTGAGGCGTCAGCTGCTGCCGGTGGCTCCGCAGGGACCTGGGACGGAGCCGCCACTGCCACGCCCTTCTCCGAGCCGACTGGGACCAGCGGGGTGTTGGACACGATGCTGGGGAGGTTCTGGATGGTGGCCTGTGCGACCCTGATGGCCTGGTCCGCCGAGCCCGCAGCGCATCTGAACCTCGGACAGCTTGGTCGTGTCAAGGCCGACCGCCCCCATGGGCTGGGACGCCATTTCTCCTGCCGCTTGTGCCAGCACGCTCCGTCGTTTCGCAAGGTAATTATCTGATGCCCTGCTTGCTGTGTCCGGCCAGTTGAGATCGCTGCTTGCCCAAGCTCTCCTTGGACTTGAGCAGTTGTCTCTCAGCGGCCTCCGGGCGACCTGTGCCTGTGCGATCCCTGGCGAGGATCGGTTTGGATTAAGTCGTGCCCGTCCCTCTACAGGAGGAATATTCAAACATACTCAACATATAGTCTGGAAACTATTTTTTGAGTATTTTGTTGACCATTTTGGAGCATTATTGGAGTATTTTTTCTTCTTGTTCGTCAAAGATCTCCCTGTAGGGGGACACGCCCGACTTGGGGTTTGGACTTCAGCAGTTTGGTGCGAAGACGGTCTCGTGCCTCCTCGAGCTCTCGCGTGCGCGCCTGCCATGCCAGACCCTGTTGCTAGGCACCTCCCCGAGCTCTTTGTCAAGCTCCCGAAGGTAATTCCGAGCATATTCATCGGAGGTCTCCCCAATCATGTCCTCTCAGGAGGGAAAAAGCATAGGCACAATTAGTCGTCGATTCCCCAGACAATATGGGAAGATATGGGAAGTGGGGGGGAAGATATAGGAAAGTATGGGGAATCTTTTTATATGTGCGTATTTATTTGTGTGTCCTGGGACCCCTTCGTCCTCATCCTCGAACTGTCCAGACATGGAACACCAAAGTCTGGCCGCGGACTAGCGGCCACTTCGTCCTCGGGGAACAAGCATTTCGAGCCCAACTTGCTACGAGGGCTTTCTGAAGCCATCGTGGAGCCATTTTGACTTCAAATGGGCCCTCTGCCACCTCGCAGCCCCCCCCGTCCATGTCCAGGGGAGGGGGGAGGGGGAGGGGGAGGGGTCAAGAGTCTCCCTCCCCGCCCGCAAGCCGTCTCGCTCACTCCCACCCGCCCTCCCCACACACGTAGCACCCGAGCCTGGCCCGAGCCACAGCGGGCGGAGGAGGCGGAGGAGGAGGAGGAGGAGGAGGCCGACCACAACCCCGCGGGAGGCGGAGGCGGAGGAGGAGGAGGAGGAGGAGGCGGAGGAGGAGGAGGCGGAGGCGGAGGAGGCGGAGGAGGAGGAGGAGGAGGCGGAGGAGGAGGAGGAGGAGGCCGCACCCGCCGCGCCCGCCCGCCTGCGGGGGGCTCCAGGCGCGGGCCGATGTCGCTGGGCGGCGCGGGCCTCCCGCCGCGGCCGTCGATGGACTGGCCGCTGAGCAAGGAGGCCGGCCGGGGTCGCCGGCCCGCCCCTTCGGGGGAGGCGGAGGCTGCCGTCGGTACCCTCGGGCGCGCAGCGGCCCTGCCATCGCTCGGGCGTGTGTATTTCTCCTGGCGAGGCCAGCGCCAGAAAATCTGGACCATCTCAGATCATCCTGGGTCATCTCGAGAACCGAAGGCCGCACGAAACGATGCAGTGCACGGGAAATGGACGTCCGAGCCGAGCGACGGCAAGCGGTCGCTACCCGCCCCCGCCCTGGGTAACCCGACCTCGTCGGTTGCACAGCTCCGGAGGGGGTGTGGTGGGGGGCAGTGCTGGCTCGCGCGGGCCCACGTGGGGCTGCCCAAAGCGAAACGGTTAGGTTATCCGCCCGCACCTCCCCCCCCCCTCCCTCCCCCCCCCCGGATAACCAGATAACCCAGGCCATTGGGCGCTGCGTAATGGGGGGGTCATAAATGGGGGGATGGCGAGTGGCCCGAAAAGGTACCCAAACGGTACCTAAACGAGCCCCCTGGGGCTTTGGAGGGGCCCGAAAGGGGCACGAAAGGGAGCCGTTTCTGACCCCCCCATTGATGACCCCGCCATTAAGCCACGCCCAAGGCCATCGCCGAAAAACAAAAACGATCTTCTGGGTAACGGTGGCGATTGCACGTATGGCATAGGGGGGGGGGCTGGACCCCCCCCCCACATGCTGGTGCACGTGCGCATGCAGTGGCGATCGCAGCGCACCCCCACCCCGACGTGCCCCTCGCCGCCCAAGCGTGGCTGGTACTTGGGGCCCCGGCCACCTCCCCCTGGGTAATGACCGTTACCAAGAGTAATAGAAACAACATCATCAGGGGTGGGGAGGGCTCGGAGTCGGACTTCGGGGAGCGGTCTCGAGGGCCTCAGGGCCCGACCCTGTGCGGTCGCGTGCAGGGCTGTCTTGCATCCTTTTCCGGTTTGTCCGCCGCAGCGAAGAAGACCAATCGCAGAGGAGGGAGGGGAGACGAACAGAGGGGGGGGATGGGGACGAGTTGGTGACGATGGTGGTGGTGGTGGTGGTGGTGGTGGTGAGGATGGCAATGACGATGGTGCTAATGATGGTGCTGCTGCTGACGAGGATTACCTCTGGTATAACGATGATGATGATGATGATGATGATGATGATGATGATGATGATGATGATGATGATGATGATGATGATGATGATGATGATGATGATGATGATGATTATGAGGAGGAGGAGGAGGAGGTGGAGGAAAAGAAGGAGGCGGAGGAGGCTGACGATGAAAGTGACGATGAGGGTGGCGATGAAAGTGACGATGAGGGTGTTGGTCGTGATGGTGATGGTGATGGTGATGGTGATGGTAATGATGATGCTGATGATGGTGATGCTGATGATCATGGCGATGACGATGATGCTTATGATGATGCTGATTATGACCATGACGATGATGATGATGCTGATGACGACGACCAGGACGACGACGACGGTGATGGTGATGATTCTGATTATGATGATGATGCTGATGGTGCTGATGATGATTTATGCTTGGTGATGGTGTTACTGCTGCTTATGATGATGCTTATGATGATACTGTTGATGCTGCTTATGAGGAGGATGATGAGGATGATGAGGATGAGGATGAGGATGCTGCAGCTGCGTGTGATGATGCTGTTGCTGCTGCTGCTGATATTGACGTTGCTACCATTGGTGCTGAAGACGAGCACTGTCATGGTAATTCTGGTGGTGGTGGTGGTAGTGACGGTGGTGATGATGATGATGATGATGATGATGATGATGATGATGATGATGATGATATTGCTGCTGCTACTAACGTTATGATGATGTTGTTGCTGCTGATTATGATGCTGCTGATGATGATGATGATGGTGCAAGTGGTGATGGTGATGAACATGATGCGGGTGATGACGATGACGATGATGATGCTGATGATGCGATTGATGATGCTGATGATGATGATGCTAATGATGATAACGACAAGGATGTTGATGATGCTGATGATGATTATGTTGATGATGGTGATGTTGTTGATGATGATGCTGATGATGCTACTTGTGGTTGTGATGACGATGATGATGGTGGTGGTTGTGGTGATTACGGTGGTGGTGGTATTTGTGGTGCTGCTGGCGCTGATGATGGTAGGCAGCGACTAAGCCTACGATGACGGTGCGGTGAGGATGCGGGCGAACATGATGTTGGCGATGATGGGGATGATGAGCATGACGATGATGACGATGATGATGCCGATCATGACGACGATGACGATGACGATGATGATGTTGATGCTGGAGATGATGATGATGATGATGCTGGTGATGATGATGATGATGACGATGATGATGATGCTGCAGATGATGATGATGAGATGATGATGATGATGATGATGATGATGATGATGATGATGATGATGCTGATGCTGATGCTGATGCTGATGATGATGATGATGATGATGATGATGATGATGATGATGATGATGATGATGATGATGATGATGATGATGATGATGATGATGATGATGTGACGATGAGGGTGGCGACGATGAAGATGACGATGGAACTGCTGAGTGCGATGAGGAGAGGGGAAGAGGACGACGGAGAGGTGCAGGAGGAGGAGCAGCAGCACGAGGAGGATGATCAGGAGGAGGAGGGTGTGGAGCCAACCTCTCCCGCTCTGCCCCGCTGCCGCCCCCTTCACTCCCCGCGGCTCCGCCGCCTCGCCCCCGTCCGCCAGGAGATGCAGAAGTGCGCCCTGCGCTGCTACGAGCAGGAACCCCGATGGGCCGAGCGTTTGCGTCGGGCAGTTCGTTACAGAGTGCGTCCCCTCTCACGGAGAGGGGTCGGTAGAACTTCCAGCGTATCGGGCGAGGTCTCTTTGCAGGCCACAGTGGCCCAGCGGCCCCCGTTTTGGAGGCCGCTGCCAGCCGTGTGCCTCGCGATCAGGCGCGGCGCATGGTGCCTGGCGCTCTTTATGCTCAGTGTCCTCGGCCACAGACTGGGGCCCAGGACACTCCAGGACACTCCGACATGGTGGCCCTGACCGAGGGGAGCAAGGCCAAACATGCCAGGCATGAGTAGCCTCTTTTGGCCTGCTTGTGTACTTGTGTGACTGTCCTGTGATGTCGTACACCGTACGTCGTGCATCGCCTCCCAGGGGCTTCCTCCCTGGCTCGTGGAGTGGGGGGAGGCAGAGGCAGCTTGTGGCGGAGAGGGCGGACCGGAACGGAGCGGAATGGCCGAAGGGATGGTGTGCATCATTCAAGCTTGTGTGCGTGCGCAGGGCTGCTTGCCTCTGGCGGCTGGTTGAGCACGAGCTATTCTCACGACGGCGGCCCTGCGCTGCTCGCGAGAGGGGGCTGCCCCTGAGGCCGAACACGCTCGGCGGAGCGGGCGGGGCGTGGAGCGCGAGCAGGGCCCACGGGCCCCGCCCACGGGCCGCCCCGCGGCGCCGCAGGGGGCGCCGCCCCCGCCTCTCCACCGTGCCGCGGGCCCCGCCTGGTGGCGGAGGTGGTGCGGGTGCGCCGCCCAGGCCAGGGCCTCGCTCCTCGCTCCTCGCTCCTCGCTCCTCGCTCCTGGCTCCTCGCTCCTCGCTCCTCCTCTTCCTCCTCCTCCTCCTCCTCCTCCTCCTCCTCCTCCTCCTCTTCGTCCTCATCCTCCCTCGTCCTCCTCCTCCTCCTCCTCCACCTCCTCATCCTCCTCATCCTCAGCCAGAACCACGGGCTAGTGAGGCCCAGAGGAGGAAGAGGAACCCCTACCGCTACCCCTCCCACGTGTTTGATCTTTGGAGCCTCCTGGGAGGCCCTCGTCGCCTCCGCTGGCGAATTTTGGTCAGAACGCACCCCAGGAGGGGTCCAGGGAGTAGTGGTATTGGAACCTTTTGGTCCCCCCAGATTGCGTCCTGGATCTTTGTTAATCAATACATATATATATATATATATATATATTTATATATATACATATATACACATGTGGCACGTGTGTGCCCAGGCTTATACAAAAAACTGAAAGGGCGTTTGAAGCAGGAAGACACCATGACGGCGGGATCGGAGATGGAGAAGGGGAAGCTGGGGCGGCGCCGCCAGGGCGTGCCTAAGAGAAGGGGAAGAGGCAGGAGGTGAACGCAAAATAATCTAAGATCGAGTAAGAGCCCCCTCCAGAGGATTCGGGATCGAGCAGGAGGATCGACGAGGGCAATGCCTCTCCGAGGCCAGCGTTGCGAGGATGTCTCAGGCGAACGTGGCCTGACCACCTCAGCTCAGGGCATCTCGGAACCCAGAGTTGCGAGGATGTCTCAGGCGAAAGTGGCCTGAACACCTGAGTTCGGAGCATCTTGGAACCCAGAGTTGCGAGGATGTCGCAGGCGAAAATGGCCAGACCACCACGGGACAGGACATCTGGGAATCCAGAGTTGCGGGGATGTTTCAGGCGGAAGTGGCTGAACTATTTTAGTTCAGGGCATCTCGGATCCCAGGGTTGCGTGGATGGCGGGCGAAAGTGGCCGGACCTCCATGGGGCAGGACACCTCCGAGGTTTAGAGTTGCGAGGATGTCGCAGGCGAACAGTGGACCCGAGGCTCGCGAGGCGGGCCGAGGAGGAGGAGGAGGAGGAGGAGGAGGAGGAGGAAGAGGAGCAGAATGCGCAGCTTGGCGAGCCCAGGGCCATCTTTGAGCGTCTTGGGTACCTCTGGGATTTCTTGAAGCCTCTTGGTGGCCTCTTGGCAGCCTCTTGGAGGCATGTTTTGCGCCACTTGGGGCCGTCTGGGCGCCTCTGGGGGCCATCTTTGGGCACTCTTGGGAGCCTTAGGAGCGCTCTTGGGGCCATTCTGGAGGAGTTCGATCAAAGAAGAGGAGCTCCTTAATTCCCTCCCCACGGGGAGCCCCCAAAGTCGCCTCTTGGTCCTGGGGCGCTCTCGGAACACCATTGGGCGCTCTTGGGGCCGTCTTGGTGCTCTCTTGGATCTCTCCTGGGGCCCTCTTGGGCATCTTGCAGCCATGTTGAGGCCCTGGATGGCCATCGGACGCGACAGGGCCTTGGAGGTCTCGGAGGCGTCTTGGAGCCGTCTTGGAGCGTTCTTGGGGCCTCTTGGAGCATCTTGGGATCCGAGTTGAGGCATCTTGGGCTATCCTGAGCCATCTTGGAGGTCATCTTGGCCTCTCTGAGGCCCTCTTGGAGCCATCTTGGGCGAAAGAGTTCCCTCTGACACCTCGCGGGGCGCCCCGTCCATGTCCAGAGGACGGGGTATGGGGGAGGGGTAAACCCCTGCCCGAAGGGAAAGAAGGAGGTTGGAAGAGGATACTGCCTAGACCACCTACGCCCAGAGGGCTGGTGGGATTTCCTTTTCTTGTGTTCTCTCACACCATACTCCAGGGCGGTGGTGAGGATCCTGCTGCTGTTCCATCCCCTCCTTTTGCGTCTCCTCCTTCTCCTTCCGCTACTGCTGCTGCTGCTGCTCCTCCCTCCTGCCTTCCCCCTCCTCCCTTGTGCCCCCTGCCTTTTCGAGATCAAACGACAGATCGTTCCTCAGCTGGAGGCAGACGAGGCCCAACTCCAGCAGGGGGAGGTGGACGCGGCCCAGCCAAGGTCTCCTGGTCAGGCTCCCGTCTCGGCGCCTTTTTGGGCCTGCTGGAGCCTGAATTCCACAGGGGTGAGCGCCTTCGGTGAGCGTACTGCGTGCGTGGGTTCGGCCGACGAGTCGGAGCCCTCGGGTGGTGAACCGTTTGGATTCCCCACCCGCCCTCTCTCACCACCCACCAAACCACCCCAACCCAACCCGAAGGCCCCAATTTATCCTCGATTTCCAGTTGGGGGGGGTCGTGGAACATCGAGAAAACACATATGGAACCCGTACCCCCCCAACCCGAAATTCGGGTCTTCGGGTCGGGTTGGGGTGGTCTGGTAGGTAGTCACTCTCGGGCCAGCCCTCACCCGTTCCGCGTGCCCCCCCCGCAGGAGGTGCGCGCCGCCGACGAGGAGATGCGCAGCAAGGAGCGCCGCCGCGGAGGGGCCAGAGGGTCGGATCCGGCCCTGTGGCTGTCGGGCCGGCCGACGACGATGCGGGGGCGGCAGGGAGGGGGAGGAGGGGGAGGAGATGGAGGAGGAGTAGGAGGGGGAGGAGGAGGGGGAGGGAATGGAGGAGTAGGAGGGGGAGGAGGAGGGAGGAGGAGGAGGAGGGGGAGGAAGGAGGTAAAAAGGAGGTGGTAACAGGCAGGAACACGACTTTCGGGCGCGAGGAGCGGCAGGGGCGCCGCGGGGGCAGGACGCCGCCCTGCGCCGGGCCAGAGGCCAGCTGAAGGAGCTCCGGCGCGCGAGCATGGGCTGCAGGCCGACGGCGGCGGCGGCCGACGGCGCTGGCGCGTCCACAGCGGCGACGATGGCGGCGATTTGTGACGGCGGGGGTCACCACCCACCAAACCACCCCAACCCAACCCGAAGGCTCAGATTTACCCTCGATTTCTAGTGGGGGGGGGTCGGGAAACATCGAAAAAACACATGTGGAACCCTTACCCCCCCCAACCCGAAATTCGGGTCTTCGGGTTGGGTTGGGGTGGCCTGGTAGGTAGTCAGGGGTGGTGGTGAACGAGGACGCGGGAGAGACAGCGGCGGACTCTGGCGACGGCGGCGGCGGACGACAGAAGACCGACGGCGGCGGCGGCGGCGACAGCCGTGGACGACGACGACGACGACATCGGCGGAGGCTCGCCCGAGGGACGGGCGGCCGCGCGGCCCGCCGGGAGGGGCGGCCTCTGAGGTGCGCGAGGGGTGGGGGAACGGGGGTGGTGGGGAGGGGGGCGTGGAACGGGAGGGGGAGGGGCGGAGAGTGGATAGGGGAGGGGAGTTGGGGGGATGGGGAGTGCGGCGGGGTTGGGGTGCCTGGTAGAGCTCTTCGGCAAGATGACAGAAGAGGAGTTCGGGCGCAGGGTGGAGCTAGTGGGCCGACCCAGTCAGAGCGGACAATGTGATAACCTGGGCCCAGCTACCGCAAGGTTGTGTAATCATTTGACATGCCTTGTTCGGAAACCAGATGTTCATTCCCCGCCTGAGCTTCTCATTTTTTCCCCAATCCTCCTGTGGTGTTGGGTCCTGGCTTTGGAGACAGCGCCCTGCGTCTCCCCTTGCTCCCCCCACTCCTCCCTCCTCCGGTCGCTGCCCCTGCCCTCCGCACCAGTAAGAAACACTGGCACACTCCTCACACGTTCCGTGGCCCCATACGGAGCTCTGCCGAGGAGAAAGAGGAGGAGGAGGAGGAGGAGGACAGAAGGGAGGAGGAGGAGGACAGAAGGGAGGAGGAGGAGGAGGAGGAGGAGGAGGAGGAGGAGGAGGAGGGCTCCAGTAGCTGCGTTCGCATGCGCTCACCGCACCCATTTCGGCACACCCACCCCTCAGACGGTTCGTGGCCTCGTACGGAGCTCCACCGACGGCCCGAGTGGCGGCGCTCGAATGCGCCCAGTGCATTTGTTTCGGTTCGCTCCTAACACGATTTGTGACCCCCAGCGGCGGTGTTCGCATGCGCCCGCCGCACGGATTTCGACACACCCCTCACATGTTTCGTGGCCCCATGGGGACCGCCACCGAGGTGCCTAGTGGCGGTGCTCGCGTGCGTCCGCCCCACACCTGTCGGCTCACCAAGCACATGTGTCGTGGCCCCATAGGGCCGAGGGCCCCAGCGGCAGTGTTAGCATGCGTGCGCCCCGCCCGTTTCGGTAGCATCCCTCACACCTCCCGCGGCCCCGTAGGGAGCTCCACCGAAGGCCTCATGGCTGTGTTCGCATGCGTCCGCCCCGCCTTTTTCGGCATACTCCTCACACGTGGGGGACGCCACCGCAGGACCCAGTGGGTGCGTTCGCATGCGCCCACCCAGCGCGCCCGTTTCGGCACATCCCTCATACGTATCGTGGCCCCATATGGAGCTCCACCGGCGACGATTTTGGGTCCTTCGCCATGCTAATTTAGTTTTTTGCTACATGGCTGCGTTTGGATGTGTTTTGTGCTACTGCTTGTATTATCAGTAGTATTGCTCTGATTATTAGTAGTATTCGTGTTTTAATAACGACTATACGTTAATTCTTATCCGAATTCGTATTATACAGCTGCTGTGGTTGTTGTTGAACTCTCACTACTGAAGAATAGTTGTTATTGCCTCTGATGCACATTGTTTTTTCAATTGAAGTGCCCCTCCCAGCGCTCGCACCCTGATCCTATCAGGGAAAGGTTTCCTCCTCAAACTGTGTTGCTTGTCCCTGGGTTACAGCTACAACGGCTCCCGCCTGAGACGTCCTCACAATTTAGCCAGGAACCCCGCTCCCGCCCGATACGTCCTCACATTTTAGTCAGGACTCGCGCTCTCGTTGGGGATTTCTTCACAATGGATTGAGGAATCGTTTTCTCAGCGCTCTTGGGTCGCGCTCTCGCTGGAGACTTCCTTGCAATTTACTAAAGAACAGCGCCCTTGCGTTGAAATTACCCGCAATTTACTCAAGCGCCGCGCTCCCGACACTCAGGCAACCAGGAGTCGCGCTCAAGCTTAGGACTCCTTCACAGATTTTTTAGAAATCGGAATTTCGCTGCCTTTCGTGGCCCCGTTGCAGCCCTTCGTGGCCCTCTCGCTGCCCTTCGTGGACCCGTTGCAGTCTTTTGTGGCCCCCTCGCTGCCCTTCGTGTCCCCGTTGCAGCCCTTCCTGGCCCCCTTGCTGCCCTTCGTGGCCCCGTTGCAGCCCCTCGTGGCCCCCACGCTGCCCTTCGTGACCTCGTTGCAGCCTTTCGTGGCCGCCTCGCTGTCCTACGTGGCCACGTTGCAGCCCTTCGTGGCCCCCGCGCGGCCCTTCGTGGCCCCATATATGTATGCCTTTCGTGGCCCCCGCTCGTTCGCGCCCGTCTTGGCCCCATATGCATGCCCTTCGTGGCGCCGCTGTCGCCCTTCGTGGCCCCCTCGCTGCCCTTCGTGGCCCCGTTGCTGCCCTCAGTGGCCCCGTCCTTGCCCTCTGCGGGCCAATATACGTATGCTCTTTGTGGCCCCCGCTCGTTCGCGCCTGTCGTGGCCCCATGTGAATGCACTTCGTGGCCCCGCTGTCGCCCTTTGTGCTCCCCTTGCTGTCCTACGTGGCCCAGTTGTTACCCTCACTGGGCCCGTTGTTGCCTTCTGCGGCCCCGCATTATCTGCCCTTCGTGGACCCCGCTCGGTCGCGCTCTTCGTGGCCCCATACGCATTCCCTTCGTGTCCCCGCTGTCGCCCTTCGTGGCCTACTTCGTGCCCTTCGTGGCCCTGCTGTCGTTCTCTCTCTCGCTCTCGCTTTCGCTCGTCGTCGTCGTCGTCGTCGTTGCCGTCGTCGACGTCGTCGTCGTCGTCGTCGTGGTAAGTCCCCTGTCCGTCCCTCTTGGGGTCGGGTTGCCGCCGGTCAGCGATGCCGCTGGCCAGGCCGACGGTCCGCGGCCGCCCCGCCGCTTGCCGGGGGCGGGGAAGAACGGTACACCCCCCCAAAAGGGTACGGACAGAGGGCGGGTATCGAGGGTTTGGGAAATACGCGTTAACGGAAGAGCGAACAGTCTTACATTGATTGGTTGTTGTTGTTGTTGTTGTTGTTGTTGTTGTTGCCGTTGTTGCTGTTGGTGGTGTGGCTATTGCTGTTGATGTTGTTAGTGCTGTTATTGTCGTTGCTGATGTGGTTGATGCTGCTGGTGTTGTTCCCCACATCCAAAGTGGGGTTCTTGTTTTCTCTGGACACCCCGCGCAGGAAGAGGAACACACACACACCCACTCACACTCACTCGCACTCTCTCATCATCAACCTCATCATCATCATCGATGATGCTCTCTCACATGCTTAGTCACTCACATACTCATCATCATCATCATCATCATCATCATCATCATCATCATCATCATCATCATTCGCACTCTCTCACACGCTCACGAACATCATCATCATCATCATCATCGGCATCGGCATCATCCTCATTCAAACATCATCATCGCCGCCACCACTCACAATCAATCATCATCCTCTTCACCACTCATCTTCACCACCACTCATCATCCTCATCCTCATCATCGTTGAGTAAATTGTGAAGAAGTCTCAGGCGGGAGCCCCCTCCCTATGGGGCCCGCAGATCATGTTGGTAATCCGAGCGGGTCATCGGAACCCTGTAACTGTCGTCACTTTTGGGCTCCCCAGCCTGAAAATGGAGGAAGTCTCAGGCGGGAGCCTCGTCTGTGAGTGAATTGGGAGGAAAGTCTCAGGCGGGAGCCCCCTCCCTATGGGGCCCGCAGATCATGTTGGTAATCCGAGCGGGTCATCGGAACCCTGTAACTGTCGTCACTTTTGGGTTCCTCAAGCCTGAATTTGGAGGAAGTCTCAGGCGGGAGCCTCGTCTCTGAGTGAATTGTGAGGAAGGCTCAGGCGGGAACCCCCTCCCATGGGGCCCGCAGATCATGTTGGTAATCCGAGCGGGTCATCGGAACCCTGTAACCGTCGTCACTTTTGGGCTCGTCAAACCTGAATTTGGAGGAAGTCTCAGGCGGGAGCCTCGTCTCTGAGTGAATTGTGAGGAAGGCTCAGGCGGGAGCCCCCTCCCTATGGGGCCCGCAGGTCATGTTGGTAATCCGAGCGGGTCATCGGAACCCTTTAACTGTCGTCACTTTTGGGCTCCTCAAGCCTGAATATGGAGGGAGTCTCAGGCGGGAGCCTCGTCTCTGAGTGAACTGAGAGGAAGTCTCAGGCGGGAGCTCCCTCCCTATGGGGCCCGCAGATCATGTTGGTAATCCGAGCGGGTCATCCAAAACCTGTAACTGTCGTCAATTTTGGGTTCTCGCGCTGCCAGAACGCAGTTCCCAGGCCACATTTTGGACGCAACAAGGAGGAGATAAGCATGGTGGCAGCCGCGCTGTACAACGCGCTGGACCTTCGCGCCTGCCACGGACGCAGTGACACGCACGACGTGCAGGAGTCGAACTACCAGCGGCCACACCACCACTTCGGGCGCGTGCCCATCGTGTTGCACCTCGGCGATTTCCTGCAGCTGAAGCCCACCGGCAGCATTGGCCTCCTGACGGACGTGAACGAGCGCCTGGACGACGACGAGTCGTACAGGTACGCGGACCCGCCGACGGTGGAGATCCAGCACGCCATCAAGGTCTTCTCTCAGATCCCCTGCGTCTTCGAGCTGAAGGGCACGAAGCGCTTCGAGCCCGGGGACCCTCTGATCACGTTCCTGGGCTGCACGCGCGAGGGCAAGCCCTTCCCACCTGAGGTCTGGTCCGCCTGGGAGAAGACGTTGGCCACGGACAACCAGGGCGTCCTGGACCCTCGGCACCAGCACGAGAACTT